TGGATAACAACAAGACAAAGCCTTAAACCTGCCCACACAATATAGCATAGGACATTCTGTAAACTACCTAGAGTACCAGATTCTGTGTAGAATAGCCGAAAATCACAGCTCGTAGGATTCAGGCACGAATTTCCTCCACTGAGTGGCAGGCCACAAGCTCCACATCCCCATCCATTGTCATAATTTTATATTTCCCAGTTAGAAAAAGATTTAAAGAGATGCAATAGAACCTAGACATTTGGAAACTGGACTCAGGTAAACATCAACTAACTACACTTAAGTTCCGAGCTACTAAATTTATTTTGGAAAAATACGACAATATTTCTGAGGCTGTGCATGCGAAGTCGATTTCTTCTCCCCCAGTTCTGCCATGTGGATCAAGATTTCCTAATGAAGAGGTAGTGCATCTTTGGCTCCAGTGCAGTGTGTGTGTGTGTGTGTGTGTGTGTGTGTGTGTGTATACACATGTTTGAATGGCATGAGTTTCTCCTGTCTTCCATGATGCAGTTCATTCATGAGCATGCCAAGAGTCATGAGTCATGCAGTCTCCCTCAATCTTCTTCTCTGTGTACAGCCTCGGCTACACATGACAGAAAGGCTTCCTTGGAAAGCTAGTTGATTTTTATCTTCATCTATGAGCAAGGCCCATAGATATGCAATCAGTGTTCAGGTCTCTAGCTCTGGAAGCCTCTCTCCTGGGGCCCTGAGGCATGGTTCCCCCTCGGAGCAGCGGGTGTGAGGACATGATCTCCACCAAGCCTTCAGGAAAGGCTTCCATCCAATCTTTGCATCTAGAACTGAGATATCCAGTTCTGTCAGTCCATATCATCTCCACCCAGCCTTCGACAGGACCAAGGGTAGCAAGTGATGACCTGTTTCCTCCCCTTTCATCTCACACACTGTTTGTCCTAAAAGCATCAGGAAATGTCTAAGATAGACGCTTCCGGGCAGATGGCAAGGTAGCCCCTGAACAAGTTATCAAGTAGAACTTACTTATTCAAGCTCAGAGGACCACAGAGCTAACTGGGTGGCCGCTGGCAAGCTTCTTGGAAGTTTAGCTTCCCCAGGACCATTTCTAGGCTTCCTGGAAACTTGCATGATCTCTATGTGGGGCTCAGGTCTCCCCTGCCCCACCCTCAAAGAGTGCAGATGATGGCTGGCCTCTGCTTTAGGGCCTGCACTTTGGCTGATCCAGGATTTGTTGAGCTCCTTTATGAATCAGCACTGTTGTTCCGTCCATGAGTTGCATCTGCAACTCATGGTTCTAGTAGGGTCCTGTTAAGGACTTAAGGTCTTCATTGCTACCCAGAGGAACCTGTGTTGAAGCCATGGTTGCTCATCAGCAGTGCTGTTGGGCAGTGACTGGCTGGTGCTGGCTGCTAATCTCATCAATGGACTAATCCACTGACAAGGCCACAGCTGGATGGTGTATTGATTCGTGGGCGTGGTAGAGGGAAGGAGATCGCTGCCGACTCTGAAGCTCCATCTTGTACCTGGCGCCGTCTGCTGGTTCTCACGTCTGGTCTGCCGTGAAGGGAGCAGCTGTCTTCCATGGGGCCAGCCAGGGGCCGAAAGCCTTCAAACCCAGAGCCAGAAACATCTCTCTTCCTGTAAGCGGATTTTCACACAGTTGTTTTTGTTGCAGCAACAAAGGATGGCCAAGTAAGGTGCAAGATGAGGGTAGACAAGAAAGACAAGAGCTGGCAGAAGGGTCCAAGCCTTCGCCTACTCTCAGAAAGGATGAGCAAATGTCCACTTTAAAAGATGTTTTCTCAGGCCCTGATGGGAACATTACTTCATTTGAGTCTGTGTTTCATTTACTCTCATAAAACCATGCAACTCCCAGGGCAATTTAAGTTATGAACACTTGGCTCTTCAATTCTGGGTCAAATAATGACAAGTCTTGACCACATCCAAGACCAGGGCTCCTGGGATCTGAGAGTCAGGCCAAGAAAGAAGACAGTGAATGATTGCCCTCTCCTAGTGGCATGGCCCCAGGGTCAGCCATCAGCACTCTAGTTCCGGCCTGTCCACTCAGTCCTCCTCCTCCTCCTGACACCTCCAGGAAACGAGCGTCCAGAAGCTGCCATCTGAGCCCAAATACACAGAGCACCTACATTTCAAACCCTTATGTTGGATTTTGCCAGATTCTGCCTCAGACAAGAAGGTGAGTCCTCTCCCGCTATCCAATAAAATTGCCGATTAAATCAGAGAAGTCAAATTGAACTCAGCAGTTATCTGTAACTCAGCTAGCCCTCGGGTAACTGTGGCTGCCAACAGTGGCTCCGAGCAACTCTGTAATATACATGCCATGTGGCTTCAAAATGTGAAGAGAGACCAGCTCCTCCCAGCTCTGGCATTTGACTGTTGTTGGAACATATCTGAACAGACAGCAGCTGTATGTGAGCATGCTGGAGAGAGCCTGCTCAGACAATCACATAAGGTCAGCAAAAGTTCCCCAGGCTATCTAAGGACCGATGCTATAGTTCTTAGCAATCCCACAAAAGAAAGCCTACTAGTAAACTCCTTCGTTCACTCATCCCAAAAACTGTTTGTCAAGCTCTGGTCTGTGCCTCTCTGTGGCACGTGCTGCAGCGATACACGGTTTGTAGACTAGTGGCCAATACTGATCACGCCTCAACATTCTCATGTGAAAACCTGCAGGATGCCATTCTTGCTAATGCAACAAGAAGACCAGCAGCAACATTGAATGCTTTGATGCTTTAATGAGAAAACAGTATGGATGATGTCTGTATGCCCAGCATTCAAAAATCAGATAGGGAAGTGGCTCTGTGGCTCAAGTGGTAGAGCGCTCGCCTTGAGCTGAAGAGCTGAGGGACAGCGCCCAGGCCCAGAGTTCAAGACCCACGACCGACCAAAAAAAAATAAGATAAAAGTTTCTGTCTACGTCAAAAATAGAGTGAAAGGGCTGGGAAGGAGGCTCACTGGTAGAGTGCTTGCCTCGTATGCATGAGGCCCTGGGTTCTACTCCTCAGCACTGCATAAGCAGAAAAAGCCGGAAGTGGCGCTATGGCTAGCCTTGAGCTGAAGAGCTGAGGGACAGAGTCCAGGCCCAGAGTTCAGGCCCCATGACCAACAACAACAACAAAAATAGAGTTAAAGTTACCTACTATCTACTCTGGCTCTCCCACCTATTACCCTATCCCTATTACCCTTCATAAGAGAGAATCTGCTAGAAATCATGAGTCTCACGGCAAGAAAGGGGGGGTCATTTGATTATACCCAGGAGTAAACCAAAAAACAACACAAGAACACAGAATCTTAGCAAAGGCAATATTTTGCCTCCCGGAGAACACCTTAGCCCACCAGCTGCAGGCAACATGTGAATTCTGGACCAGCCCTCAGGGCAGTCGCAGCACCAGACCGCTTTATCTCCATCCGCCCTGCTGTCCACTGGACACAAGGCTGGCCTCTTCTTCCTGCTTCTCCAGGGAGGCCTCCCCCACGATCGATCGCTGGCATATTTAACAGTGTGTTCGCCCGGCTCTTTGGAGCCTATCCTAGCAGAAACAACAAGCTAGAAGGAAAGGGAGGGGAGGAAGCTTTTGGGGTAAGCAGGATGACGAGAGAAATGTACATGAATAATGGGGGAGAGGGAGAGCTGACACTAGGTATTCAGCTCTTCTCAGCAGTTAATATCTCCGTCGTATGCAAACCTTACCCTGCTTATCCTCTCTAGTTTGATTGATGAAGCACCACCAATTCCAGAGAAGTTTTCAAGATAACCAAGCCTAAGCTACCTCTTTAAAGACGTCGAGCCACAAGTAATTTAAATCCATTTACTTAGGTGTGAATTTTCAATTAGTGCCTGGTTTCTAAGCCGCACTTCAGTCTGCCATCCCTATACTCAGTGAAAGTTCTTAGACATGTTAAAACCCCTTGATCATGCTGACAGTCACGTGAGGCCAGTAGACAGATATTTATTTATGTTTTTCAACTTCCATCACAGTTATTCTGTCCATCAATGACAGGATACACAACCTCGCTGATTGTATGGTTCAGTGGAGGCACACCTAGCCATACTTGGCTTTTGAAACTGATTAAGAATCCACAAAGCCAGGTATGGTGGTGCTCACCTGTAATCCCAGCACCTAGGAGGCTGAAGCAGGAACGTCATGAGTTTGAGGCTTGAGCTACGTCGTGAAACAACCTCTCAAGAAACCAAATAAATAAATGAATATTTTTCTAAAAAGAGAGAAAACGGAAGTAAAAGTTCAGATGTAATTGTTCCTTCACACTAGCCACATTTTAAGTGCTCAGTTTCTGGGGCTGGGAAGGTGGCTCAGTGGTAGAGCGCTTGCCTTGCATGCATGAGGCCCTGGGTTCGATTCCTCAGCACCACATAAGCAAAAAGAAAAAAAGCCAGAAGTGGCCTTGTGACTCAAGTGGTAGAGTGCTAGCCTTGAGCTGAAGAGCTGAGGGACAGCGCCCAAGCTCAGAGTTCAGGCCCCATGAACGGACCCAAAAAAACAAAACAGAAATCCGTTTCTGTTAAGGGCACATTGAGGAAGGCTTGCAGACGGAACATTGACAGGTTTGCTGCATGTTATCCTCCATTTTCCAACATTTCCATTTGCCAAAGGATGCAAACCTTACTGCCATCCCCACGACTTACGACCTCAGAAAACCATTATCTCCCCTCCCACTTCTTTCTTTACACTGGCAAATCTTTATATGCTGGGTATGGGGCAAGAAGCAGCAGGAAGAGGAACGTTCCAGCTTGCTTGACCTGGTCCTGAAGATGCTCAGCACAGCCATTGTGCCATGAGTGCCTGCCAAAGGTTCCCCTGGAATTTTCTTCCCCTCAGTCATCTTGGTTCCGCCCTTAGTGCTTCCCATCTGCTTCCACTGCTGGAGCCAGTTAATCAGGTGATCAATCAGGTGCCTTACATTTCTTTTTCTCAATGATTTCCAATAGCTCCACCTCCACTACTGGCAACCTAGTGCCCCACTGCTGATGTAAATTCCCATGTCTGTGCACACATTGGTGGTGTGTACACTAACATTGAGATGAGGCAGAGATGGTTAGCATGGCCTCTACATGAGGAGGTCATGCAAATTTGTGACGTGTTCCCTATTCTGGGGGGAGGCAGGGGGAGCGGGCTGCCAGGCAAGAATCTGACGGTAACCCACAAGGAGTCACTAGCTAGGAGGCATTTCCACTTCCACTGCTACAACCCCCACTGGTATCACCCCCTCTTCCCAAACTGGCCCCAGCCGATGCCTGGCAAAACCTGCCGTGCTCTCTGAGATGGTGATTTGACTGTTTTTGACTGTTCTTCTCCTCATCCTGCTGTAACCTCTCCCAGCCATCTGATCACTGAGATGTTAGAAAACTTCCCAGTTTTCAATCCATGATGGGAAATCCAAGATAGTAGCAGATAATCCAATAATGGATGCCTGTGAAGACTCAGAGCCAAACGATGAAGTTGACATTCTATTTGAGATGTGAGGAGAGCCTTTCTTTTTTGAATGGCATGAGTTAGCTAATATGTCTTTTTAAAGTGCAACTTTGGCCAGAATGTAAAGAGTGGATCTTGAAGTGGTAAGGGAAGATGAAAACAAGCTGGAAAGCCATATCGTACTCGGGGAGACACACTGGTGGAGGAGAGCCCTGGAAATAGAGGGACCCTGAAGGATTAGAGATATTTTGGAAAGGAAAATTGATTGACATGTGTAACAGGCCTGGAATAGAAAACTCCATAGAAAATGCCATGGAATAGAACACTCCAGATCAGTAGCTTGAGAGAGAAGGAATGCAAGCATCGTAAGCAGGAATGTCCACACAGGCCTGTGAACTTCATTCATGAAATTTGCCTCTGAACCGTGACTGATGTCTCTTGGGAATTCTATTGCAACTTCAACCATCCTATTGGTATAACAATTACCAAATACTTTGGTCCTAGATAAAGCACAAGCAATGATGGGTACCTGTGTCCCATGTAGTCACAACCCAGAGATGGTCAGAATCTAAGCATGCCTCAGCTTTTGATCATGAACTGTATTCTCTTCTAGACAAAGCAAAACTGTTCCAGCATTATACAAATTCCAGAAACCAGACTCAAAACACTCTCCCACGTAATTCGAATGCAGGATGCCCTCAGTTTCCCAGTTGGCAGCACTGTTCAGTTCCTCTTGTGGTATCTGAGAAAGGATCTACACTAGCAGTAGCTTCCCGACTTGCTCCTGCAGAGCTCCCCATCTGATTGCTGGAGAGCTCTGCTGCTGGGTGTGGGGCCACAGAAACTTCTGCCAGGACCACTCCATGGAGCCAAACGTTCCATGCTCAAAACCTAACAGGTAATGGCATCAACCCTCGGAGCAGAAAATAACCATCACAGCCAACATGTATAGTACCCACAGCCTGTCTAAAGACAGCAAACACAGCCAGGCGCTGGTGGCTCACACCTGTCATCCTAGCTACTTGGGAGGCTGAGATCTGAGGATCATGGTTCAAAGCCAGCCCAAGCAGGAAAGTCCGTGAGACTCTGATCTCCAATAAACCACTCAGAAAACCGGAAGTGGCACTGTGGCTCAAGTGGTAGAGTGCTAACTTTGAGCTGAAGAGCTGAGGGACAGCACCCAGGCCCAGAGTTCAAGACCCACAACCAACAAAAAAAAGAAAGAAAAGACAGCAAGAACAAGGCCCCTTTAGCCCAATCTACATGGAATAATAGAATCTTTGAGACAGATATCTAGTGAATTGATTTCTTTCTTTACACTCTTCTTCCAAGTGTCCTTTAAAGATAATGAATGCCAAGGCATTGACCTTGAAATGCCTTTTTCACACTCCTACTTTAACAAGTATTTGCATTATGATGGGATACACATTCGAAAAGGATGAGGCTGCGTTCAGGGAAGAAGATTCTGCCTCTGGTGGGGGAGGGGGAGGATATCCAATGGGTGTCAGAAACCCTGAGCACATTAATGGTGCCTCCATTCATGAATTGCACAACCCTGGAAAGCGTCTCTAACTTTCCCATGCCACAGTCTCCCCCCCCTCCCTCCCCGCCCTGCTGCACAATGGGAGTGACCATGCTTCTCCAGCCCACTTCACCAGACTGATGGATGGCAGAATTGCCATAAATCCTGAAAATGCCAGCTGCCATTCATGTGGTTAAGTGCACGGTCCATCAATGATAAAGCTGTCGGTAAAATTCCTACAGTAGGCCTGGAAAGGAAACTCCAAATCCTAACAGTTAGAAAGAAATGCTTATCAGCTTTGAACTTTAAAAAAAATAGAAAGTCCAATGCACTCATACTTTGGGATAATTTGTACACAATTTAGGAATTAATAAGTCTACAAAATTTTTCTAGAGAGTGGAGGTGGAGGGACAAAAGATCATATGCCTAAAACCAGTCATTTCACCTTCAACATTCTTACTTTATACCAGTAGCCAGGAGAGTGGAACATCACTTTTAAGTGGAACTTGTCTATCTGTTATAAAAGTGTATTAAATAAATCCATGAAGGCCAAGCAAAGAGAATAGAGGAAGGGACCATCCATCTTGCTGTTACCATGACAACAAGACATGCTACCTGGACAAAGGTTTTGGCAATCTCTTAAAAGCATAGCCAGCGATGTTTCCATCTGCTTCAGGAGGGACATAGTCTTCCTCTAGTTTCCTCTAGGGTCAGACATCCATTTGTCTGCTGACCATCTTCCAAGGAACATAGGGGGGACAAGACCGGAGTGGGGGGCAGGGTGTCACCAAGGGTGGATGGTAAGATAGGAAGGGGCTTGACAGGATTTGATCTCAGGGCAAACACCATTTAAAATTCCCCAAAAACATGTATTTAAAAAACAAACAAACATAGTTCTCAACCATGCAGCTACCAAGTAAGCTAATAAGAAATTCAATCCTAAGCCAATAACAGTTCATTTTTATTAAGAGCAGTGACAGTAAGAAGTTGAATTTTCTTTTATGTGATGGGCAACACATTTCCTGGAAGGTCGTGTTTTATAGTAAAAGAAGCAAGAACTTATGACGCAGAATAGACAGATGTCCTTTCTTCCTATCTTTGGGTGATGTACACAGGTGTGTACGTGTGTGTGTCACATAACAAACTTGCACACCTATTTTTTTCATTGAGAGCAACAACTAGAGGCCATTTGTCATAGTATTTCCTTTAACTGCATCTTTTTCAAACTTGAGACCATGTTTTGAAGTAGCTGTCCGTGGAAGTGGTCATTCAGCTCTCCTGGGGCTGCCCGAACGCTGAAAGGGCCTCCTTCACCACACTCAAAAGCATCTCTTGGCTGACTGAGAACAAGCACCAGAAGACAAAACAAAACAAAACAAACCCCCCCTCTTTCCCAGATCAAAGTGCTCCTCCTCCATTGCCACGGCCGCGGAGGCCCCTGCTTCCTTTTCATCCACCACACAAGCTTCTCCTCCGCTCCCTGCTTCATTTTTTTGTCTTGCTTGCTTGAATTTGTTTCCTTGTTGAGAAACGTGGTCATTAAAGTATTAGTTTGGGTTGATTGGTTCTTGGGCAGCAGAAGAGGCTCGGACGCTTTGTTATCTCCGGCATGATCTGAGAACAGTGGCCTGATTATTAGACAATATGGAAATAATAAGCTACAGACTGCCCCTTGGGACCTGCACAGGGCAGCAGGGCAGCGGCACGTCTACCCACTGGACTTGGCGTGGGCCTGCACATCTGGCCCCATCCCTAGACCGGGCCCAGCCTGCTTCCCTGCCCCAGCCTTGCCCTGCCCCCACCTCCTCCCACCCCCAAGGACCTGACGTTTTCCCAAGTGGCCCAGGCTGCTCAGCCCTTGCCTCTATTTATTTCAACCAGTGGTGCGTTCAGCGGGGAGAATGGCAGGGGGAGAGGCTGGCTTTGATGTTACCAAGGGTCAGGGCTGGCAGCAGGTAGAGGGGTTAACAACTGGGGGGGAGGTGGCCTGCCGGGCCAGGACCGCTCAACCGCAGCCCTGGGACATCTCCACCCATGCACACCAGAGGCTCTGGCCATCATCCCCGGGCAGAGCAGAGAGAAAACGCAGAGGGTCAGGCGTAGGCCCTCGGGGAAAAGGACAATTCAAAAGCGATCGCATAGCATGCTGGAACATCACGGGCCCTTTTTCAGACCAAGTGACTGAAGTCTTTACATCATACTAAGAACCATGTACCCACTAGAAACGGTGGTGCGCCAACTGGAAGCCTCTCTTTACTCTTCTGCTGAAATACGAAGAGGCTAACTCTGAGGACTGGTGGTGGTAACAACATTTGCTGAGTAGTTACTTTGTGCCAAACACGATGCTGGGCATTCAGCTGGCATCATCTTATTTCCTACGACCACCTTTTCAAATAGAAATTATGACAACGCCCCCTCTTCCCTACCAAAGAAACACCACCGTCAAGGGTTGAAATGCATTGTCCAGAGTCCCACAGCTGGCACATGAAGCGAAGATTCAGACCCAGCCATCAGAAGGTCTCCCTCCTGTGATTTAGGAATGAAATGCAGTATCTTCTACCATGCTGGTGCTGGAGGACCCAACCCCCAGCAGCATCGTCAATCATTCGTTTTCCGCTGCCAACAGTATGATGACACTCTCCCAACTGCTTTGACTCATTGTATTACAACAGGAGGCGGTGCCTCCGAGGAGGGGGGAGAGGGGAGGGAGCAGGGGAGGGGGAGGGGAGGCTTTGTAAAGCATTGAGCAGGATGGCAATAGCCGGGAGTGGCACCCAGGAAAATGGACTGTCCTTGGACCCACCTGTCCCATGGTCACACTCAAACAGGCATTTTCTGGAACAAACAGTGAAAGAGAAGCAGCGGAGGAAATGGGGGGGGGGGCTTGCAGGTCTGCCCACTTTAGAGGGGTCACCACAAGCTGCGATTCCTCACAAGCATGTGTTACCCATCTCTACCTACATGACAGAACTAGCTAGCCATGACATCCGAGATCCTCCTCCCCTAGCACAGAAATGCCACCAAAGGCTAATGTGGGGCTGGGACCACATCTTCAGCTCCAGTTACACTTAGATGCACCAACAAGACACAAGCGGTAGCCGATGGGAAGTTAACACGCGTGCCGCATTTCACTTTGGAGCGTCTGGAAGGTGTTGCAT